GTTGAAAAGATCTTTATAAACAGTTGCTCCGCCCTGGGCCCCCCAGTGGCTTGTACCTTCGAGGCCCGCGAAGCACACCAGCAAACAGGGCGAAGAACCACCGCGCGAGCAACGCGCGAAGAAGCGGCAACTGCATAGCACACAAGCAGACAGAAGGTCGCAGGGCGAAGAACCGCCGCGCAGGCAGAGCGCGGCCAGCAAAAATACCAACAGATTTGAAGGCACCAAGGAAAGGCCCAGCATGGCCAAGCCACTACGTGGGAGAGAACCAGGGACCAAAGGGAGAGCAAACCTCAACAAGGCCGCTCACATCAATGGCAGAAAAGAAATAAACACAAACGAGAAGATGGCCAAACACACCGACAAACAGAATAAAGGGTAAGAGGTAAGAAACAGCTGCGCAAGCACGGCGAGAAGAAGCGGGCGCCGATGTGGAAAGACACACGGAAGGGCGAGCAACCCCAAAGCACTACAGGGCAAGGCGACAAGAGGAGACGACCGCGAAACTCGCCAGCAAACGGAAGGGCGCAGGCTGCCGCGCGAAGAAGCGGAAAGGTCTCTATTTTGAAGTTTTGTTCTCTTGCGTCGGACAGAGTCCTCCTGTGCAGTTCACGCAGCATGCCGCCCTCGCGCCTTTGCGGGTCCATTCCATCTACAGAAAATGGCTCCACTGTATGGCGCGGACCACGCGAGTCCAGAAGAAAGAGTCTAGAGGAGTCTAGAGTGCGTGGTAACTTGCGTCGTGTGTGACACAACCCGTGGGTCTCGGACGCGCAGGTCCTTTGCGGTTCAAAGCGCGAAGAAGCGGCGCCCAGCGAAAAGTCCAACAGCTTGCAAAACCAGGGATGAGACCGCGAGCAAACCTCAATAAGGCTTACTTAGACAAGAGAATTGCTGGGCGCACAAGCAAACAGAAGGTCGCAGGGTAAATAACCGCCGCGCAGGCAGAGCGCAAAGAAGCGACGCCCAGCAAAAATGCCAACAGATTTGCTTGCCATCCCGTCTGGCTTCTCCCAGGGGTTGCTGGCTTATTTGGGTCCTTCAAAGCTGTTAGTATGTTTTGCTGGGCGACGCTCTCTTGTTTGGGCAACCTTATTGCCGTTTGCTCGCCATCTTGTCCCCAGTTCCTTCCACGGTCTAGCTTGGATCATGTTTGTGCTTGCCCAGTTGTTGGCTTTCCGCTGGGCGCCGCTTTTGCTCTTTGCAGACGCGGTCGTTCTTCGCCGCATTGTTTTGGATCATGCTTTTGCTTGGTCTGTTCGGTGTTTCCGCTGGGCGCCGCTTCTNNCGCTTCTTCGCGCTGAGCTTGCGCGACGGTTCCTATTCCTTTCCACCATGGGTGTAAGCGCCTTGTTAAGGTCAAACCTTAAGGCGACCTGCTGAGAAGACAGCAAGGCACCAACAGAAGGACATAGGGCAGAGAACCGCTGCTAAAGCAGAGCGAGAAGAAGCGGTGACCGCCAAGCCAGGGCGCTCTGTCAAGTAGCTGCAACACGCGCACGTGCAACGTTACGCATCTATGCTCCGCATGATGAACCTGTAGCATAACACAGAGGCCAGAAGACTCTGAAGGTAATAAGAAATGAGTTAGGAAATTATACATTCGATAAGAGCATGTTTGCAAGATGATAAATGTTTACGAGCGGAGTTCCTCCCGCTGTTGTCTGGCTACAC